GGAAAACACATATTTCCGATGGTCTTAGGAACCAAGACACTGCTCCTCCCTGTGTCCAGGCGGGTCTGCTCACATGCAAATATGCCCACATAGGGGTACCCGGTGTGAAGACTACTACCCATGCTTCAAGACAAAATTTCACTTGTCAGTAGAAATAAATATTTCACAATATATAATCACATTTTTTATTAATCACTATGCTTTAATTATGTTTAATTCTGTTCAATTTGTAACAATGAAAATACATCATGCATATCAGATATTTACATTATGATTCATAACAGCAAAATTACAGTTATGAAGTAGCAGCGAAAATAATGTTATGGTTGAGGGTCACCACAAGCTGAGGAGTGGTATGAAAGGGTCCCGTCATTCGGAAGGTTGACGATCACTACTTTAGAGAGCTTCTGAAGCTGTAAACCTTTGGGGGAGCAGGTAGCCTCCTCTTTCTCCCAAAGAATGGCTGGTAAGTTTGAACTGCTAACATTGTGATCAGCATCTCACTGCTTACCAAGCTGCACCATAATACTTAGAGGTGTATCAGAGCTTAAATTCTGAGCTCTTGGTTTTTGGAAAGTTGCAGTTTGCAATGAGAGTCCTAAATCCATTTTGAATCTAGACATAAATTTAACCTCATTGCCTTCTTTCTGTCCATGGTCTGGCAGTGTAAAAAGTTTTGCCCTCGGCATAGTGTTTTTCAAAAAGTGGATTGTTATGATTCCCTTGGCCAGGCCAGGGAGGAGCAGTTTCACCCTCAGGGATTTGTCTGAGTGTGCCCTTGATGGAAATTGGGGTACCCATGGGCACATGGCTATAAGTCATCCCCCAACCAAGACGGTCAAAGGTCCGAGGGCTTCAGAACCAACCCTATAAATTTTCCCTATCTGCAAGACCAAATCATGGTCCCATTTCCATTTCCTGTCTGCAGCTGTGAATGAATTTGCTGCCAATCCTAATTGTGGGATGAGTTTCTCTGCTTTCCAAGTTCTATAGAAGCGGCGAGGTCACTGTGAATCCCTCAGGTCCCATGATGGTTTCCTGCTGATGGTCTGCTTCATTTGGATGATTCATATTTGTCTATCTGTGTCCTATGTAAGACTTAAAAAATGGCTTCTTAGAAAATCTATTTGAATTTGGGGTCGTTCCCCCTTTAGTACAGAGGATACCTCTGCATTCCCTCCTGCCCTATACTCACTACTTTAGTTACCAGTACCTGTAGGCTGAGAGTCAGAATTGGCTCGATGACAGTGAGTTTTAGTTTTATTTGCTTACTTTTGTGGGGCAAAGGTAAGAAAAATCAGTTTGGACACACACACACACACACACAGTAGAAATAAGTGGGAGTCAGGCATGTGGTGACTGCCGGTAAATGTGGAGAGCAGAAGTGGGTGGGGCAGCAGTTATTGGTTGAGTTATTCTGAAGTAAAGACAAGGTCAAGTTGTATATTATTATCCCTGGCACTGACATTTAGGGAGAAGCTAAGGAGATGTCAGGCAGAGACAAGACCAAACTTGAACAAAATAAATATTTGTTGGCTAAGCTGAGTGTTTAGCTCTGGCAAGCCCAGAATGTATAGGTTCTGGAGGTTAAGAAACTGGTAGATTAATCAGGAAAATGAGAATGAATGGGAGAAGCAACAACAAAATCAAGGGGAGGTAAGTTGC